CTTATTGAGACTTTAATCCATGCAACATCTTTGTAACTTCTAATTAATTAGTAATTTCAAATTTTGGATTACCTTTTTGTACATCATGTGAATGATATAAACTGGTAGAGTTTGTTAGGTTTATGAGTAGGATTCCCACCATTGAATTTTGGTATTCCATTCACTTGGTCAACCATTCATTCTTTCCCTTTGAACTTTTATGGGTTCATTGTTGATCCTTCATCTTCAGCCTCTTGCATAACAGCAGTGGTGCACACTATTTGCCTTTGAATGATCCTTAAAAAACATCACTTGTCGGTAACTCATCCATGCTTAGCAACTGCAGTGCAAATAGCCAACATCATATTAATTGTTTTCAGGCGTTGGTGGTTTGAAACCCGACTCCAACAACATTTGAACTTGAAGATGACTACTTGAGAGCAATGCAAGGTAAGAAATCATGCAAAAGTTTTATGCAATTAGTTCCAGACTGGTGTTGAGTGCATAAAGTTATACTTTTACACCCTCTTTTACTTAGGTTTTTGACTTAAAATCTCTATGCATCACAAGGTATTTTGATGTTTGTATTGTATTTTAGGATGAAAGTAAGGGTTTGAAGAAATCATCTTATTTTGAATATCTTAGGAGCCTAAAATGGATAGTTTGAAGCCCAAGTGGCCCAAGATCTGCCAGAAAGGGCCCTTGCAGAACAACTAACTTGTGAGCTTTGCCCCGAAGTGCTCAGAAAGAATTAGAAAATAGGCCATATATGGTTGGAAAGCTCTGGAAGTCTTCTTTCTGATGGTCTTTACAACTTGTATTTGGAGGTTTCGAGAAGAAATTATGACAAAATAAAGAGGAGCTGTTCAGTTACAAATTTTGATAACAGCTAGTTTTCAGTTACGCTTATACTAAAAGTTGATTGTAATGAGCTATAAATGAGAGTCAATTTAAGGACGTAAATGTGTCAGATGTCAGAAAACTCCTAAGCCTTTTAATAGGAGAAAAATACACAGAATCAGAAGGAGAAGAGGAGAAAAAAAAACAAACAAACAAAAAAACACAGAATCTGAAGAGAGCAGGAGTCTTCAACCTTAAGCAGTTTCTAGGTTCTAGCTTTCCTATTTTTTTATGTATTTTTTGTTACCTTGTTAATTTAGTTTATGGATACTTAGGGCTGCTTTGAAGCCCTAGACATGATTGAATTAATGTTATGATGCAATTTTTGTTTATCAATTTCATTTGCAAGCTAGAATCAGTTTTTTGTCTCAATTGTTTCAAGCGCATATTTTCAAGCTTAGTTACCTTGTTATGTTTGATTTCTGTTAAGAATGATAAGGATGACTGCCATATCTTCTTTCATTCATTAGCAACATGTGGTTAGGTTCATAACTAATCATGTAAATTGATTCCATGAAAATCTAGGATAAAAAACCAATAAAGGAGGGCTTTTTATATTAGCATCCCACAAAAATGTTGAATGTACTCCACATTAAAATTTAATATTAAATAACTTATTTACCTTACTATGCAATGGCAATTTTGACCTTATTAGGTTTAAAAAAAAAAAAAATCTATATACACCCTAAATCACTTTTAACATATTATTTATCTTCTTTAACTATCAAAACTCCTTCGACCCTCCATTGTTGAACAAAACCCTAACCAATGAAACTACAAACATGTTGATTGAGAAAAATTATTTTTGACGAATGAAACACGAAATCAATATCGAAAGCTTCACATGAGATAAGACTTCATATTTTTTTTATTGTTAAAATGATTTTGACTACATTGATAATTATTTAATCTTGCTTTTGATGCGTTATTCTAGCTTCTATGTTCGTATTCATCTTTTAGGGATCACATGGATTACATGAAGAATTAAACACCTAAAATAACCACCAAATATTAAAAACAGATGACATGGGTTTTAATGGTGGAATTAAAAACAACCCACATATCCTTTAAATCTTATGCGGCATCTTTTGTCAAAATTTCAATCCGCAATTTTTGTCCAAATTAAAAGTTTTATAAGATTTGAGAAATGTGGGGTGTGTAGAAAATATGGGATGCATGTAGAAAATGTAAGGTGTATATTAAGAATGTGGGATGTGAGGGTATTATGGGGAAGTATATGGAGTGTATTAAAATAATTTTTAATTGAAAAGGTAAATATATGATGTATTAAGTATGTGAGATTTATTCAACAATTTGTAGAGTGTTATAATAAGCCTAAAAGAGGGGACATAAAACCTGGTTGCAAGAAAGCGTTATGCCTTACCGACGGAAGATCCTTGAGATAAATGTATATATTATCGTAATTTGCTTAACACGAGACACTGCATTGTCCATGTAAATGAGTGCCATGTTAGTATTTTTTTGCATTAGTGTCAACTGTTAATTTCTTATCATTTTACAGTTTAATAGTAATAAGATGGATGGCCAGGTGCATTATTTGATTTGCTTTGCCAACAACTACACTCATTGAAACAAGTAGGACAAATGATTGCCTTGCATGTCAACAGCAGAGAGAGGATCCTCCCCGGATTCTTTTTGTGAGGATTTTAGGGATTCTTTAATGATATCTGTTTATTATATATTGTGCGACCAATTTTTATCAGATATTGTTTATATTTAATTTTAAATAACAAAAATTACAATGATTTCTGATCTTACGATGTACGATGAACGAATCTGATTGGAGGATTCTCAGGATCCTCACAAAGAAGATCTCTCCAGGATCATCCTGGTTAACAGCAATCAAACATGGACCCACAATGGCAATTATGCAGACGTTAGGACGAAAACCAAATAGGAAGGTAGATTCAAATATGCAATTCATCTTCAGCAGCGTGCTTTTGATGAATAAACTTGTGAATTGGACAACATGCAGATGCAGTCTGGATAAGTGCTTCTGGATGCGTAATGGATAAGGAGGATTTTGTTTGGTGCAAACGTCTCCGGAAATTTATATATATATATATATATATATATATATATATATATATATATTATATTATGTTCTAAATTACTTAATTTCCGAAGACGTTTGCACGTTAATTATAAGGTTTTGTCAATCTAAACAAAAGCCTCCTTATCCACTACGCATCCAGAAGCACTTATTCAGACTGCATCTGCATGTTGTCCAATTCATAAGGAGGATACGGATTATATATATATATATAATCCGGATCATCTTTGTTAGGATCTCAAGAATTCGTAAATCGTGTCCATTCATCGTACATCACGCGGTCAGAAATTATTTTAAATTATTTTAAACACAAACACTATTCGACAAAAATTGACCACACGATATACGATGAACGGATACGACTCACAGGTGGACCGTTGGATGAAATTTCAAAGGTGCAGATCACTTGATTCAATGGCCTTGGTGGAAGAGATCCGGAGAGGATCTCTTTCCTGTATACATGATGGCTAAAAAGTCAAGGGTAGTAATGAAAGTAAGATTTATGGCCATATATCAATCAGTAGGCCACCCTAGAATTAATTATATGAACATTTAATAAAATCTTCGTTAGTCACTTAGTACTATGGTCTAGTAGTATTCTTTTTCATTTATAAGTGAGAGGTCTTAGGTTCGATTATCGTCAAATACGAGTTTGAACCACATTATTGCTAACCCATTATGAGGCTAAGTCATAATAAATTTTCGTTCAAAAAAAAAAAGAAGAAGAAAACAATAGTAATCTATTAGTTGTTAGGCACATGTGGTTTAACACATTATTAGATGGTCTAAATGAGTAGTCTCCCTACATTTTTCATTTTAAATTGAAAGTAAACTTCCCATGAAACCGAGCAATAACTGGCAAGAGAATTAAAAATTATAAGTAAGACTGATTTTGTTTCTCCTTGGCCTCTTTGTACTGTTGAAATATCTCACATTGATCGTATTTCTGACAAAAGAAGAGTTTAAATATCTTAAACCCATTCACACTAATACTGAGGTCTTTTGTGATAAAACCACACATATGTCATCTGTGTATGTGGTAATTAACAAGTTGAGGCAATATCGGTGTTGTTGGAAGGGCTTATGGTCCGTCTCTATGATAATTCTACGTGGTATCAGAGCCAGGAAGGGGGCTCGTACTGCTGCTTGTAGGGTGAGTTCCCTTGGCTCTATGTGCATGGTTGTCGATGTGTGGATCTCCCGTGACCCACTAATTGGGTCCAACATGAGGGGCATGTTGAAATATCTTACATCGACTGTATGGTTAAATATCTCAACCCCATCCCAACTTATACCGAGTCGATGCATAGATCACACGTGAGGGGGCGTGTTGAAATATCCAACATCGATCGTATCTCTGACAAAAGAAGAGTTTAAATATCCTAATCACATTCTAACTAATACCAAAGCCTTTTGTGATAAACCACACACCTGTTGTACTGTACATGTGGTAATTAACAAGTTGGGGACAATATCGGAGTTGTTGGAAGTGGGCGTATGACCCCGTCTCTCTTATAATTCTACGCGTACGCAATGGTCTATTTGTTTGGACCACATTCGGAAGATGACTTTCTACGCTTCTCAAATTAATGTGTACCTCAGCATACAGGTTTGTCTCACTTTCTAGTTTTTTTCCTAACCTTGTGGTGTTGTTCGGCTTGTTTTATTGGTTTAGACCTTTTAGGTTTGGCTTTAGAGCGGTTTGTTCTCATGTCCCCTTGCTTTTCCTTGCATCTCCTTTTGTTTTCGTTTCTAGAGGAGTAGAGTTTATGTCTCCTTTTTTTTCATGTTCTTTTTTCTCCTTTTTTTCTTATATTATGAGGAGTTAGGTTTATATCCCCGTAACTAAGTGTAACTTCTTTTTTCATTATCAATAAAATTTCCTAAGGTTTTCTTTAAAAAAAATTATAAACACGAAAAGAGTACATTCATAAGGTTCATAAAGCGTAATTGGTGCAAATTCGATACACTTGACACAAAAATAAATTCATCTCACTGCATTTTATTTATTTTTGGTAAAACATCTCACTACATTTAATTAGGCTAATCAGGAGAGTTTCTTTTGATTCTTGATGGCCTTCCAAGCTTTGATATCAGCTTCAATCTTTTCCTTCACGCTTTTATTAAACCCTGGATACGGTTCATAGCTAAAGGCTGATTGAAGAAACTCAAGCAACACAAAGTACGGCCCCATCAGAAGTCCTTCAACAAAGCTGTCTGCAATACCTGGTAATCTTTTCTCAAAAACGCCATGGCCTATGAGCAGTGCAGGCCAGCAGAAAACCTGAACAGCGAGAACAAGCTTCCATGACTTACCAAACCCTAGCCCACTAGCAAGAACATTGGCTCCAACCCAGGTGAGAAACAATAACAAAGCTGCCAAGGACCCAGCTTTCTTGTCCAGTTTGACATAAAAGATGGCATACATCAAAGTCAAAACCAACCCCACATTCAATTCGAAACCGTGATTGTTTAACCCAGATGGGAAATTATATAGGGAAGGTGTGAAGTGGAGAAGAACCGCAACAGCGAAGACTAAGGGCCACACTAAGAAAGTATGTAGCAAAACGTTAACTGGGTTGCTGTGATATGCTCCATAGATGGTGAAGTACCTTTCAAGATCAAACAATCCAGTCCTCCCCATGGAAATTTTTCGTTAAAAGTTTAATTGCTTTTTGTTGGATAAAGGTGTAGGTTTTTATAGTTTTTTTTTTATTTATTTTTATTTTTATTTTTTTGGTGGGGCACAAAGTAGATTTTTCCAGCTAATGTAGGAAAACTAGACTGAAAGAAAATGAATTAAATTGGATATAAATTGGAGCCTGAATTCAAAGTTGTGGAAAGTTCCTGGTAGGCGCTAGAGTATGGAAGGTCAAGATTATGACACTTGTCATTTGATGATTTGTTAGATTTGTTAGTATGTAGGCTTGTACGTATGTATTAAGATTTCTACTGTAATACAATACCCTCCTTCTCTCTAACTTCTTTCTATCCCTTTGTATCTTCACCTTCTTCGTTCATCTTCTTTCATATTAACACGGTACAAGGATGGAGCCAGGATTTGTTATGTGGGAGGACCTCTCACATACATAGGTAATTTCAACTCAGTACATGTGAGATTGAAGTACTGTGTATAAAAATTGAAAGATCATTAATGCAATAGAGAGCTAAAAATATTGCACAAATCAAAAAATCAGAGTATGAGGTAAAAAGTAAGCAAGAATTTTAAGATGTTTTTTTTTAAAAAAAAAAAAGTTAAAACCAAAGAAAAGATAGAATTGGGAGGGGAAATAAAGACTATGCCTCAATAAGAGGGATGAAGAGAAAAATGAGGTCTGACCTAGAACATAAAAGAGTTCGAATGAAGAACATACTTGAATTTCAAAGGTATTAGACTGATATGCAGCAGCATAATATGTTATAGTAGCAAGAAGAAAAAAAGGCAGTATGGACCAGGGACCATACTGGTCCCTTAGTAGCTCCGCCACTATGTTAGGTGTGTACTTCGAACTTTCTTTTAGTAATTGTTTTACAATGCATCATATGGTTTAATATTGTTGAAGAATTTGAAGTATCCCATAAAATTAATATATTTTGAATAATTTGAGGTATCTTATAAAATTAATTGGCAAATTTTACGAAGGGTTCATACTCTCAACACATCTTCTCACATGAATGAATTTTCAAGCCCAATACATGGATATCAGAAAATAGGTGGCGTAGAGAACGTCAAGGTTCACACATGGAATAACTTGCTCGATCAAATACCATAAAGAAATTGAAATCACCATAAAACCAAGTGACAATATAATAAGTAGTTAAACTATTTACAGACATACACAATGTCTCTTATTTCTTCGATGTGGAATTCATATTATTAATAGTTGTTAAATTATCTAACTTGTTTCAATTCATTGAGAATGATCTATATAGATTAAACTGCAAGGTATTGACTTGACCTAATAAAATCTCCACATTACTGAGGAGCACTATAATTCAGTTATATTTGATCTGTTTCCGTCTTTAATTAGTGCGTGGCCTTAGTGTGTGTGTGTGTATGATCTCTTAATATTTTTATATACTAATAATTGGATCGCGGATCTTGTGTAGGGGATTCGAATTCGGGGTAGTGTAAGAGAGTGACAAGGATTGTTTGTCCTTCACTTTCGATGCCCTCTTCGTGCCTTCCTGTTTTGTGTGGTCACGGTTAAGCCACGTCAATATTTTATATTATTTTTTTATAGATATAATAAGACAAAAATAAATAGTAATATAAAATGTTGACGTGGCTTAACCGTGACCACACAAACAGAAGGGCACGGGAAGAACACCGGAAGTGGAGAGCAGACAATCCTTGTCCGTAAGAGAGAGGGTGGGGTCAGTGTGGTAGAAGTCGTAGGACTCAAGATCAGGCGAGGTGGGGGTATATTTGATGTTTTCTGCGTATGGGTCTGTGAGGACAGGTGGTCTGCGTGTCAATTCTCTGAAATGGATGATACTTGGGTACTCACTAGAGAGTACCCAAAAAGCTGACCACTTATGTGGCCCAATAAAATTATTCCACCTGTTAAGTGAATCTCAATCAAACCCTTCTTCCTCCAGCAACCCCTCACTCTGTTTCTTCTCTGGCGAACTATTCTCACTCCGGACCACTCCCATTCCCTCTCTTCTCTGGTGACTTCAATTTCAATCCCTCGCCGTCTGAGCTCGGTGAAATTGGGTTATGGAAATCCGCGAAATTGGGAACTTTGAAGTTCAAAAGAATTGCAGACTTTGATGAGAGAGAGAGAGAGAGATTAGAGCTTGTGGAAGACAATAGGTTCGGAACTTTGAAGTTCAAAAGAATTGCAGACTTTGATGTGAGAGAGAGAGAGAGAGAGATTCAAGGGAGGGAAGGGGGTGAAAAGGGTTTGGGTATCGGTCAGCGCCGGCGGTGAAAATGGTTGGGAATCTGGAGTTTGGTTTTCAGTTATGAGTTTAGGTTGGTGTTTGGTTATGGATTTGAAGGTGTTTGGTTACAAGAATAATGGGTGTTTTAAAATTGCAGATGTCTTTATATTAGGGGTGTGCTATCCACACACCTCTTTTTACTTCTCACGCACCATTTGTTAATTTCTGTCCGTTGATCTTCTTCAATTCATTTGATCCGACGACCGAAAATTCTAAGGGTGTGTGAGAAGTAAAAATGAGTGTGTGGATATCACACCCCTTATATTATTGGGTTTTGTTAGTAGTTAGTACACTTGTGGTCCTAACTGGACAGGACCCAAGTATTATCCCTCTGAAATTAGGCAAAGATTTTTATATTAATACCCCACAAAATGTTGAATGCACCAAATATTAAAATTTAATATTAATGACTTATTTATCCTACTATGCAATGACAATTTTGACCTTATTAGGTTTAAAAAAATAAAAAATTTCTAAATACACCGCAAATCACTTTTAATGTATTACTTATCTTCTTCCACCTTCCAATGTTGAATAAAATCCTAACCAATGAAACTACAAACATGTTGATTGAGAAAAATGATTTTTGACGAATAGAATACGAAATCGGTGTTTCGAAAGCTTCACATGAGGTAAGACTTCATATATTTCATTGTTTTAGTGATTTTGAAGACATCGATAATTATTTAATCTTGGTTTTACTGCGTTATTTAAGCTTCTATGTTTGTATTCAACTTTTAGCGATCACAAGGGTTACATGAAGAATTAAACACCTAAAATTACCACTTAATATTAAAAATAAATAACATGGGTTTTAATGGTGGAATTGAAAACAAATCCACATATGCTTAAATCTCAGGCGACATCTTTTGTAAAAAATCCAGTTGGCATTTTTTGTCCAAATAAGAAGCTTTATTGATTATTTGCATAAGACTAACAGAGCATAAGACTACACCCCCTTTACCGATTAAAGTATTAGACTAATATTGATATTGAGTTGTATGATGATTCTTAACAAATAATTGAGGTGTATTGATTATTTTCAAATCATTCAATTTGAAATCATTCGGCAAAATTAAAAATAAGTGTTATAAGATTTGAGAAATGTGGGGTGTATGTAGAAAATGTAAGGTGTTTATTGAAAATGTGGGGTGTATTAAGTATGTGGGGTTTATTCAACAATTTGTGGGGTATTAATATAATAAGTCATTAGGCAATCATAATAATTTTAGGACAATACTTGAGTCCTGAACAGTTAGGACCCTTCATACTGCCCAATCTACTTGGCACAATAAGAATTTAACACGTGTAATTTTTTTTTTTCAAAATAGAATCAAACCTCGTTCACGCTTTGAAGCCCAAAGGTTAACGGCGTCTTCTCCCAATGACAGAGGACGCCAATCGTCCTTCTCCCTCCCGCTCACACTACCTCTCCCTCTCCCTTTCTCTCTCAGACTACCTCTCCTTCTCGTTCAGACCACCATCTACCCAGAGCGACGATGGCGAGCTCAGAGCAACTACGACGAGCGGTAAAATTGAATAGAAAAGCTAGACGATCTTGAAAAACAAGGAATCATGTATGTTTTCAAAGAATTACATCTTACTTTTTCTCCATTCTCAAATTTTATGATGTGAGCAGGGTTTTCTCTTATTAGGGTTTGCTCTTGTCATTGTTAATTTTGTTCGAATTATTTAAAAATTGAATTCAATTATTTTCAATTCTCCATTTTCATTTCAATTCCAATGGAACCGAAGGATCCATTCTTTGATGTATTATTCGATAGTAGGCTATTTTCATCCCATCTGTTATTGTTATTGGTGTTGGTATATCAGGTGACACGCCCCAATCCAGATATCTAAATGACACCTGGATGGCATGTGATGGCCAACACCTAAGGGTGACGAAAGCCATAAGTGTGTGAATCTGTGATGATATGAAGGGAAAAGCAATACAAAAATTATGCAAGAAGAAACATTCACCACGAATATGCAATATTAAGAAGCAATAATAATTAATGCATTCAGTTTAAGCTTGAATGAAACCAAGTATTCAACGATCATGAATATGTCTAGAGCATACTACTAAACGAAAGTGCCAGAGAAAAGTAAAACAACAAGTAACAATGATCATAAAAGGAATCCATACTCAAGTGGAGAGATGCAAGATCACTGGTAGGTAAATGCCTTGAAGCTTGGGTCGTACTCTTCGTCGCTATGTCCTGAGGGGGCGCAAAACATAAAAGGTGAGTGGACCATATTTAAAGGTGCTCTTTATGTTTTATGGGCTACTTCGAACCCAGGTGCGAAGGTTAGCCAAACAATAGTTCATCGAGTTACTTGGAAAAACAAGATGTAAAAGCCTTGTTAAGGCTGATGACATAATAATAAATATATTTTATCACTATATATACTCGACCGATTGAGGACTCATGTGAATGAGTTTGATTGAGGGACTTTAGCTTATTATTCAAATTACATACATATTGTTTGCCGGGTATGGATTACCTTATTAATATGGTTGCGCCGTGTGTCACCGTAGGTGAACATGTGCAACACTCCGAAAGGATTGGGCCGTAGGCCAATCCGATGAGTGAATGAGCAAAGCGAGGAACGTGATTAAAAATATAGGCAAATACAATATTTCTTTCGGCCCATTGCATAAACATGGGATCCTTAGCAATAGCATCATAGTAT